AGAGTATGTGTGTAGTGTATATTATTATTATTAATTAAATAATAATAGTATTTATTTATTATATATAATTAACTACCTAACTAATATTATAATTATTATTATATATATATATATATATATATATATATACACACACACACACCCCTACCTTTAAAAGAAACCAGATTGCTTAAATGTATTTCTTTTCCCTTATTTAAAGTGAATTAAGTTCAAAAATAGACTCTTAAGGCTGGAGAGGGCTCATGGAAGATGGGCAGAATTTTAGCAGAGTGGATGCAATGAAAACTTCAGTATGTTTTGAGTAGAGGGAACAGCAAGGACAAAGGAAAGAGGTGAGAAACGGGGACACATCTGAGGATCAGTCTACTTGGCTGATGAAAACCAAGAATCCAGTGGTCAATAGTCCAGTCTCCTGAATTCCAACAGATTGTTTCTCTTCAAGCAGAAGGCTGCACCTCATACAACCGGTGATGGGTACCTCTCTACTATAAACATCTTAAACTCTGTAACAATTCATTATCAAAAGTCTGAGCATTGCTCAGTTAAAATGTTACCACATCAAAATACAATACTTGTTATTTACATGGATCATAAACTTCTATTTCAAAAAGCATTCATCTAAAAAGAAGCTACTTAAATACTTTTAGAATCACATCATTTTAGAAATGGAACGAGCCTTGCAGATCATCTGTTCAGCGCCATCATTAAGAGGGTGTGTACGTGTGCATGCACAAACACGCATGTGTGCACACAAATGCTCACACTCGTGCGCATCCAGAACCTCGTAAGTACTTCTTATTTTTTATTTCCCCCCGGTTGAATAATTTTCAAATGAGGACAGATCTCATAAGGGAAAATATAAAGACTAAAAAGAGGTCCCAATTTTCACCTTGATAGTACTATTTCCTCCCATTCAGCAGAGGGTGCTAACTCCCCACCCTGCACCCCACTGCTAACTGAGCCAACTTGAATCAAAAAAGGTTATGACTTTGGTTCTCCTGACCAATGAACAGGGCTGGAGAATTTGTATATCAAGATACATACATTTCCTTGAGAAGTTTTAAGAGATCTTTTTGGTTTTTTTAAATTTTAATCTCCATTACTCTTGTGAGAAGTTTTGAATCAGCATGCTAGAATCAGCAATAACCAGGGTCCTCACCTTGACCATCAGTGCAGAAGTACTTGCGCTACCCGAAGGAGGAAGCAGGGTGGGGGAGCGACAGATTGCAAATATGAATTCTTCTTTTTTAAGCAATACAGTTCACTTTTTCTGATGGCAGGACTGGGAATCCAATACTCCTTTTAGAATGTGATTAACCTGAGAACACACTAAAAATTTCCAAAGTGTCTCCACTGTGAGGCCTGTTCTAGGATCCCCAGTAAGCCATCCTAAAACACCTCATTGGAGATGTTATTAAATTATTTCATAAATGGAGATGACAAGCATTTTTTTAAAAAGCCTCATTATTCACACAGGTGCAGATTCAACTTTCCACTGTTATGACTTACTTGGTTAGAAGCCATTTTCAGAGGTTAGATACAAAATTAGCTGCATTTGGAAAATAACTTATTACCTCCCTAAGGTCTGTGTAATTAGTAAACACACAAAACCTTAACCAGAGGCTCTGCATACTCAGAAATACATAGCAAATAACAAAGATCACAGTGCCTCCTTTTATTGGAATAAATGTTCATTTTGTTGTCAGCGCAATTTGGGGCCAACAGCTCAAAATCTTCAAAAGCTGCTTGCTGTGATTTTCTTGCTCAATACAAGCATAATTTTGCATAACCTAAGGCAAGTGTTTTTCTCGATGCAGATCTTTTTTTTTCTGAATGAGAGCTTGATACAAAATGTTACTTCTGAAGTTCCTGCATGTTAATATTCATGTCAGTTTGACACCTCACACTATTAACTTTAATCCCTCAAAATGATCATTAAATTAAAGGAGAGAACTAAGGAACAGAAAGCCTTTTATCAAGAGCTTCATTCAATTTGTTCAGTCCCTCTGAGTCTATAAACATAATTATATTGACTCCACTCAAGATCCAAGTATGGATGTTCAATTCCACCCAGAAATGCCCTCATTTTGAGGTGACCTAAGAGGTTAACCAGTGTGCCTACAGTTTCCCAGCTTGCTACAGTTACATGGGCTTCTTGACCCACTGGGTTCTTTCAACAGCTTGACTTATAGCTCCAAAGGAGGATTTCTCAACTGCGGTGCCACTGGGTGACTCTGTTGTGGGGAGCTGCCTTGCACATTGTACAATGTTTAGCAACATCCCTGACCACTGCCCACTAAATGCCAGTAGCATCCCATCCAACCTCCACAGTTGTGACAATCAGATAGGTCTCCATACATTGCAGAATGTCTCCTCAGGGACAAAACTGCCCCCAGTTGAGAGCCACTGTTCTGGAACATCCAAACATCACTTCATTCCAAAGCCAGTTTTAATCTGGTCTTTTCCCTCAGGTCTTTTCACACCAGTCCAGCAACCACAGATCATACCCTCTTGACTCACAGGATCTTTTTATTTGCACAATCTTCTTTTGCTTTGTGATATAGATTATACTGTCCTACAACACTAGATTTAATGACCTCTATGTTTATATGTCATTTCTCTGATGAGACTAAAAGTCTCATGAAGCAAGAAACCACGTCTCAGTAAAGTCTCTCTATTTACTAGGGGTCTAGAACATGCATCACATATTGCAGGAATTCAAGACTATTCAATAATTGGATTGATTCTATGTAATCAGACGGCCACCAAACAGAAGCTAAATTTTCCAGATGTCTGATGCTTCTTCCATCAGTGAAGAACGAAATACCTTCATTTATATTAATTTGGTGGAAATCTTTCTAAGTAGCTACTTGCACCCCTGTCTTAATAAAGAGAATATAATAGGTACAGTCATCCTTAATGACTCTGGAACATTAGCTGGAATATCAATTCTTATTCTGCGCCATTTGGGTTGCCTCCTTTCTGAAATAGCTCCGTGTGGTGGTGCTTTTAAAAACCAGTGTGCACGTTGTAGTGTTTCTGTCTCCTCCACAATGTATCATCTGACCTTTGCTGAGTGGGGGTGGGTGAGTTTTGGAGGAGCGGGGCACACAGAGTAAGATTACCACAACCACAACCATAGATCCTAATGCTCTTTGAGGGTTATTGCATGCCAGACGCTGGTCTCTGTTCTTGACATCCTGTGATCCATCATTCTGCACAATTCTAGAGACGGCTAATATTACTTATTATTTCCACTTCACTGATGAGGACACTGAGGTTCAGAGAGATTAAGTAACTTTCCAAGTTCACAAAGGCAGAAAATTTTAAAGAAGAAAGAGGAACCCAGGCAGCCTGACTCAAGACCTCATCTTATTAATCACTATACTGTGTGATAATTAGTATAATTGGTTAATTACTGTAATTCGTTAACTCAGTATAATTAGTTAACCACAGCCGCCAAAAATACATGAACCAAATTCAGAGCAAATGACTTCTAAAAGTATTTGACAGTGGTTTACGTGGCATAAAGTATGTGGATTTCGTGGCAAGTAATTTCCCTGTAACAACTATTCCAGTTTGACTAAAGCTGTTCCAGGTGCTTGGAAATCTGTCCATGTTACTACTACTTAGGAAGAGATTGATAAACATAAGATGAGTTGGGGGAAAGTCAGTAAGCACTGTCAGATACCTGGAGAACTGCTGTAATAGACAAGTATCTTCCTCAGCATAATAGAACATCCAGAATAAACATTTTCCTGACATACGAATGATCGGAATATAATCGTTCACCAAATTTGAACATCTATGGACATGGGTGAGTCAAAGGCAGCACAGTTTAGGGAAAACAGATTTGGACCCATTCAAGACTGGGCTCAAATCTAGCACTGTGAACCACTGGCAAATTCATTTCTCACCCTGGGCCTCGGCTCTGCATCTGCACCAAAAGGGACACTTTCTTTGCTAAAAATTAAATCTTGTAGGTAGATGCTTCCTGCACAGCTGATTAGGGAAGTCACAAATAGCAAACCCCTGCCCTTCCTTCGTTGGAAGGCAGTCCTGCTCTTGTACCCACAGAACCCTCGGAACCTGGCATATCCATGTGCTCCCACTGGGAATGCCCAACAAAGCTCCCTTGTTTCCTCAGGAGTAGCTGTGGGCCGTGTTCCCGCCCTGATTTGCATCCACACCCTAATTCAGACATACCGCTATTCCTTCACTGCAGGGTGGTGACAACGGAAGGGTGGCACCTTCTATAAACAGGCATGCTGAAAGTACTGAATGTTAAAGTTCAGAGGCAAATGTCCTTGTAAGGTCAGGAGCAATTG